TTTGATGATAATGGTGCACCATCCAACTAACGTATATGTTGGCGGAGTTTTAGTGGCACATGACTGAGTAATCTGAAATTAGGTCAGTCAGGCAATAGTGGCCAATTGATTAGGAATGTACTGAGAAAATGTCCAGAGCGTACGCGTGGAGGTTCACTTGAAATGGTGAGTCATTAATCCTCATTACCTGGCCCACAGTGCTTGGGATTTTGGGCCTCATAACCAGCAAGGTAAAATATAAAGTCGAAGTAGCATGTATTAATAAAACCTATGTCATGTACAATAATGGTCTCACCTTAAACGAGATATGAAGGAAGTGTCGTCAAAGCTTTGATGTTAACAAGGAGATCTCAGCGTTAGTGTAGTTTATACGGCCACTAAACTAGTTTTGTGATACTAGTTGCATTCAATATTCATGAAACTAATTTCGTAATGTAAATTATACTTTAAAGTCACAGTAACTGAAGTGAATATTAACATTTATAAAAAATGTTGGCGATTTTTGTGGCATAGTGGTTAGGAAAAGCTTCCATCTCTCCAAAAATTGTACTCAGTTTAGGACGAGACAATATTCTCTTAGTTTTATTTATTATCATTTCGAAGATATTATTGTGTAACCTAAAAAATCTGTCTTTTCAAAAAATTTAAATATATGTATAAAAATTATTTTCTGGGTATTATTTTCAGATACAGAAACAATAAATTACAATTTATAGTTTCTGTGTCTGAAAATAATACTCAGTCTATTCGTTATGATATATTATGGTTGCTACTACTAAATTTTAAATTTAAAAGTCTTTTATCGACTAACCAGTTGTTATTTCAATAATTATAACTCTTTGACAGTATACACAGATGGACAATAGATGATGGATGAATTGAATGCATGAAGTTTTTTGTTTTTTTTTTGCTTGAATATTAGGTAAGTATTGTTATTGTTAATACAAGGTCATGGTTCAAATGAAGCTTTGCGTATAAAATTATGAATTGCGAAACAAATGTTTTTTGTGTTGATACCTACTGCGTCACCTTCATCGGTCAATGTCAAGGGTGGTGTACCGCCATTACTCGTAAGTCCTGGCTACATACATATATAATGCAATAGATTGTCACATTTGTTAAGAAAAAAATACAAGTTAATTTTGTTACTTATTTAATTTACATGATTTCACTTAATAATTCTCGTTCTAATCTAACAAATACTGTATATAAAAAATGAGTATGTTAGATTTTACAGATAACCTCGCATATACATAGTATATAGGTATACATATATATATATATATATATATATATATATATAGTTCTTGGAATGGAGCAGGATATTTAACAAACTTATAAAAAAGAATAGGGTGGTATATTATACTTTATACTTTATAATTGGTTTTTATTTTCTTTGTGGCCCCAAACCTCATCCAGTTTTCGTTTTCCTGTATTTCAATTTTAAATATAATAATAAAACTAAAAGAAAATATAAACTGATAGATAAATACTGTATTAGCATTTTCACCACACATAACACAAAAAAGAGATATTAAACATACTATAAGAAAAACAGAAATATTATATTCAATAACTATTGTAATAGTTCATTGGAATCTTTATAATATCTAATGAATTAGTATTCGGACTAATGATAATTTCGTAGACGAAAGCCGATACTATCATTATTATACAATAATTACGAGTACATTCTACCACAATAACGATCTAAACAACAAGTACTTAAATATATTTACATAATATTCATTCTAATTTCTACCTGTATCGTTTGAAATTTTGCACCCGCTTCGTGCAAAAGCATTTTATATTTAAAGTTTCAGGTTTATTCAGGCTGAGGCCACGCTTACCCTGTTATCTTCTGTAATCAAGGAATGTTTTTGCTCACGGAATCGCCGTTTTTACGATAGGACACCGTAAATGTTTAAGCGATATTTGGTTACGTCCCTACAAATGATGATGATTAATTTTTATTAACTGTTTTAAAGATTACTTGCTGGTTAACTTTAATTATAGCTGTTAATACAATTTTATTTCTGGTATATTAAATTTACAACTTGTACAGGTAAGAAGTAACTTGACTGAATTCGCGGACATCACTAGTGTGTCTTATAATGAATTTTATATAATCTATCTAATACCTGGGAAAATTATATAAATGTGATTTAATATCTAAATTATGGACATGTTATGTACAATAATGTTGTAGTACAGTGATATAATACAAAACTAAATATTTACATCAAGTTGATATCTTCGTTTCAATAACGACTTTGATGACCATAGTGGTGTACTGGTTTAACATAATGCCTCAGTTTCTAGTGGTCTCGGATTCTCTACCGTTGAGTACATGACAATACGCAGCTTATTTTTATAAATATATATATGTTTATAAAAATAAGTTCTGTTTAATTAAGGTAGATGATATTGCGTAATGTCTATAGGTAATTAATTTTCACTTGCTTATATTAAGCATACATATCATCTACAATTTGTAACTTGAATATCTTCTCATGTACTGGTTACTAAATGTATTCTAATTTTAATAAATTACCAGATTTCCTATTCGCTATTCTCATATAAACCTATCTCATTATTTTCTTATTTCTTTTTGCTACCTATTTTCACAAATACGATTTCATACAATATAATTTATTCTCCACAGCATACAAAATAGCGTAGGATTATTTTCTGTATGTAATTTATACCCTTTCCCAGAAAATTGTTCTTGTTTCGACTCGTATTATTTTTACTGGTTTATTTTTCTAGTATGTTTCAAATGTAAATTTTAGTAAAGTTGTTTAGACATACCATACAAATAACTTCACAAACTTTCACATGCTTAGTTTTTCGCTTGAATAATATTTTTATTTAATGATATTTTTGTTCGTCATTCCATATAAATTATATTTTAAAAATAGAATTTATACTGTACTAACTTCTTTAATTAATATAATAAATAAAATAAATGGCAGCTGAAACCACAAGGTTGTTCTAGTGTATTATAAATTATCCACAAAATGATTTCTATATTTCGTGATATAAGGCAAAGACAATAATCTTTATTCATATCCAAATTGAAAGACGAGGTTAATCTAATAACATTACTGTTTGACCTTTATTGAATCTTCAATATCGTATCTATATAGTTTCATCAGAAATATAAATGCTTTGTTATTGAAGAAAACCATGTTTCGTCTAAGAATAGACAAAATAATAAAATTGTAGGTATTATTAATTGTTGGTATTATACCTGAAGTCTGCGGTATATATAATTACAAATATACATTATACCATTGTATATCTAATACACACAATGAGTTCATTGTTTATGTTCATTTATAATATTTTTCATTATGTGGTCAGTACGGATAAAATTCTATTAATTGTATTATAATAAAACATCATTAAATCTATTTACACTATATACTCGTATATATTTAATTCGTATACACTAAATAAAACAATATAATTGAGAAAATTCTAGAAATTAACTTGAAATGAAAAGTAATAAATTTGTCAGTTGCATATTAACATACAATGTATTAGAAATATAAATTTGAATTGAATTAAGAAATAGCTAACCAACTAGTTATCATATAAAAATTTAGCCCTCCAAGAGCCAAGCACCTACTTGGTTTTGTGAATCCTTAACCTTACGAGATTGATTCTCATTTTCATGAAATATTGCACCAGAAACGGCATAAATCGTATATTGCACACGATTTATACCGTTTCTACCATTCATTTCTTCAGGCAAAACGTATACTTGATATTAACCGTTGCTGTAAAAAATATAAATTTCATCATTTTACTGTATATCAATTAATTGAGAAAGCTTCATGTAATTTCTAATTAAGGTCGTGTGAGAGTTACATGTTATATTATATTAGAATTTTCGAAACTTCGTTCGCGTGGTGTTTTACCAGTCTACGCTCATATGACTGAGTATTAATTTTATAAATCACCCATTCTAATACTGCGCAGCATTAAGATTACATTATCTTAAAATAATTACGCTAATTAGATACGTTTTTAAATTAGAATATAATAAGCATTATAAATAAATGATATTATGTTTGGAAATTAAAATTATAGAAAATAAAGTTTAAGAGGTTCTTTCTTAAACAATTTTTACTTAAATAGTTTAAGAGAGAACCTCTTAAACTTATTATTGAGCTAGATTTTATCTATTTTATATCATAAAAATGATATAGTGTTCAGTTTAATATTGATAATGTATGTATGTGTGTAGTGTACTTATAGTTTGGTAGCAGATTTGTAAATTACTATTCGACACATAAATAGATAGAGAACGCCACTAAAAAATATTTACTCCACCGTTTGTACCCTATTTAATATTATTCATAAAATTGTTAAAATAAATACTAATGCTTTTCTTGATATACATATATATAGAATATTATACCTAGCGAATACAGATGAGTATAATTATAATCTGGTAGTTTATCGTCCACAGTGATCGCAATTCCCATGGTCTCGGATTGGATTCTTGCTCGATACAAAAATTTAATCTATAATACATTTGTATGTATACCTAATATATGTACAAAATAAAATGCTATTAAGTATTTTTATATTATTTGACGACATCAGTGGTCTAGCGGTCTAGCACACCGGTTTAGATCCGATGGTCGCGGGTTCGATTCCTCGCATGGCACAAATATTTGTATTTATGAGTATGATTGTTTGTATCAGTCTGGATATTTTCTATATATAATATGTATGTATTTACGAAAAAAAAATCTGTCTCTCATCAGTTGTCTAGTACCCATAACACAAGCTTTAGCTAGCTTAACTTGGGTCTAGATGGCGTTGTGTGAATTGTCCTGAGATTATTATTATTATTATTATTGTCAGTTGTTCTGTACCCACAGTATAAGCTTTCTGTAATTTGTTATTAAACGGTATTGTACAAATTGTTCTACATTATTATTATTTCTATAAGTGCCATAAAAAAGAAAAATAAGAATACTTACAGCTCGATGAGTGACAAAAGAGGTCCGTCCCTGGAGTCTGGCACTAATTTTGGCTGGGGTATCCTCATCTTCTCTCCTCGGGTCGAACCAACCAAAGGCTGCGCCCACTACTAGTACAGCACCAAGAATCATGAGTGCCAGGAACCCTCCAATTGCTGCTTTAGTCGTTTGTGATATCACCATCGCCATTTTGAATGCACTGATCACCTCTGCGTCATTATTAAAACTCTTGTGTCTTTCACGTATTTATACTATGTCCAAACACTTGAATATTTTTTATACTGCATCACATAAGTTATAAATACACATTTGTTAGATTTTTACTAATAGCAATTTATCACGCCATTCTTCTAGGATCATTGATCATAGTTATACTTTATTTCTTCAATGATGTTTGTAATTATTAATATTCCTAAATATAAATAAATTATTATTAAATTATTGTCTCAATTATATTTTATGAGTTATATATTTTATTTTCGAATACTATAATATATTTTATTTCGTTCAAAAATTGACGGTGCAAGTTCGATATCCGAATATTTTTACTTCATCTATTCTCGCTTATTACGAGTTATAATAAATTATCTATTTTTATATTAATTAGTGTCTACTCTAATCATCTACTCTTCAAAAGCAATAACAGCCTATATGTTCGTATAACGTATGAGCCTATTCAAATATTCGCAACCTACAACTTTATTCCAGTAGTGTAAGTCTAGTTTATTATTATTAAAACCCACAAATGAGTCCGAATATTAATTGTTACTTAATCCCAATGAATAAGTTCTTTTATTAAAATATATAAGCAGGACGTAGGCCTTACTTGAAAACTATTCGTAGGTATTTTATATTTATGGCATTCATTTTTAATGTCATTTTTATTATTCAAATATTTAAACAAAAACACACCACTAAAACGATCTAAAGAAAAAGAATAAAGCTTTTTAGCTTTATATTATATTTTTATAATTAATAATAAATTCTAGGAATGTATTAAATAAAGATCAAACTGATCAAAAACGAAAGTAACAAAAGATCATACTGAGAAAATACGTTCCTAACCTAAGTTACCTCAAACCAGCAATATATTCTATTAAAAAAATACTAATAAGAAATCAACAGAGCCGTATAGCCAACCTAATGTAATAATGGAAGATTTTTCGTATTGCGGAAATTAGTTTCCCTCTTATGTTGCTTATACGTTTCTCAGTAATATTATCTGATTATGATTATTACATTTTCTGTCCGATGGAAAAATAATAGTATACTTTGCAGAAGAGGACATTATTTTTAGAGATCAGTTGAGAAAGTTTTATGGCTGGCCAGTTATTAAAAATTACAGGAGACAAATTACTTTTACCTCATATAAAAAATATTGTCCTAAGTTTTAAACCTATTCTAAAATATCGATTCCGTAGATAATTTACTTGAATGTTAAAATAATAAGTAGTATTCACGTAACGAAAATGGTCTAATATATTACATAACATTGTACAAAACCGTTTGCATATAGGGATATTTATATGACAGACACACATTTCAGTACAGCAGCTTGCTTGTATAGTGACATATATTTCTGTTGAACAGTGAACAATTAAATAAGAGAGCATGGAGGCATGATATACCACGATTGGCAACGCATAAGGGATGACGATTACCACTTACTATCATGGAGACTGTCACCTTATTTTGCATTCTTGTTCATAAAAAATATAAAACAAAATTATGCAGTAGAACAAATATCGTGTACTTTTGGTTATTTAATTTTCTATTAGTAACTTCCGAGTTATTAATCAGATTTCAAATTGGTCTACTTCCAAACCTACATTAAGCTGTCAGGTTAAACGCATATAAAACCTTTCGTTTAATAATATCGATTTACTTAACCGCTCGCAAATTTCCGGCTATTCTCACGCCATCTAGTCATACAGTCTATTAATATTACATAATGTAAAAGAGTATTTTATATACTATAGAAATATTTTTTATTATCTTGATAATTAAAGAGAGATGTGGCCTTATTGTTTAATACCTCCACTCACACCTATTAGATAATGAACGGTTTGATCGTTGAGACTGTTAAGACTGGCGTCCATATGGACCGCAACGAGATCTTCGCTAATATTAAAATTTATTTTATCAAAATATTTAGTTAATATCATTATTACATAGTATAAAACAAAGTCGCTGTCGTTGTCTGTCCCTATGCTTGTGCTATGTATGCTTATATCTTTAAAATTACACAACGGATTTGTAAGATAGAGTGATTCAAGAGGAAGGTTTATATGTATAATACATGTACATCCGTGCGAAGCCGACGTGGGTAGCTAGTTATATTATAAACGGCCAGCAAGCAGTCCTGTCAACGGGGCTGTAACAGATAAACGAAAAATTAAACCGAAGGACGGCGGTTGGCTCACCCGCGACCATACATTCAAATATGATATATAAATGTGATGTAGCACGAAGCGGGTGCACCACTATCTCTCTGTGTGATGATGTGTGAGTTTTTTTTAAGTTATCTATTTTTTACTTTTATTTTCATTTTTGCAAAAAGTGTGTTAAGTATTATTTATACTACAACTTGGACAACTGATATTATATATCCATATTACCTCTGCCTACTCTATCTGTACTAACAATAATTAAGGTATTACTGCTTTATATTATTATTATTATTATTATTTTATAAGACCGTTTGCAAAATAAATTTAGTTTACCATTTATTGACCATCAAAAAAGTAACAGTCTGTGAATAAAGCTAGATATTATCAAAATAATTTTAATTCGTTTTTTATACTGTATATATTTCATAATATATGTTGACGCAACCGTATGAGTACATAAACTGAGATAATAGATAAAGATGTATATTCTTATTAAATTAAATGAAACTTTTTAATGTTTAATATGATATTTTAACGCAATTGCTATATTAAACGTGTATATGTATAGATGTGTGATGTATGTATGTATGGTGTTGAAGATGTAAAAGAAATAAACAGATTGTTTTGCTTATTCGCGTTGCGGAGGTGCGCGCAAGTCGAAGCGAGAACAAAAAACGCGGCAACCGATTAGTACTGCAAGAAAAACGCGAGAGGCGCTGCAGTCGCGCTCGCTCGCACGTCCGCCATAACGCGCGTTTATTTAATATTAAGAATATTACAATTTTTATTTTCTATATTTACGTGTCGTCTACACTCCCCTCCCCAGTGCTGGCACAGCACTCAGACCCCGTAGCTATACGTGCGACACGTACAGCTGACCTTCTTAGGATCCCAGACTTCAACTTTATGTCAACTACTCTGATTTTACCGTCTTTGCCCGGTATTACGGCTTCAATTAAGCCCTTCGGCCACACGTTTCTTGGAGAACTGGGGTCTACCACAAGCACTAGATCTCCTACTTGCAAAGGTCTCTGCTCTTTGTGCCATTTCGGTCTAGGTCGCATATCAGGTAGGACTTCGCATACCCATCGCCTCCAGAACATGTCTGCCAGCATCTGTGATATGCGCCACTGTTTGCGGAGGTACACAGCTGACTCATTATATGTACCGAGTACTGGTAAGTTGGAGGACGTCCCCAAAAGAAAGTGGTTTGGCGTAAGAGATTCATTTGTGCCTGGTTCCACGGTTACATGAGTGAGGGGGCGGCTATTTACCATATGCTCCACTTCAGCCATCAATGTGAGGAGGGTTTCTTCTCGTGGAGCTCGCTCTTTCATTATCACCTTCAGTGCTGTCTTAATGTTTCTAATTAGCCTCTCCCATGCCCCTCCCCAATGAGGACTAGCGGGGGGGTTGAAGGTCCAGGTAGTGGCAGTGCTATAATTAATGATTTCTTCATTCAGTTGTTGTTCATCTAGTTCCTGGATACATTTTTTTAGTTCTGTGTCAGCTCCTCTCATATTTGTCCCGTTATCAGAATACAGATACCGCGGCCATCCTCTTCTGGATGCCATTCGTCGCAGTGCCATTATCAATGCGTCGGTTGTGAGTTGACTAACTATTTCAATATGAATGGCCCTCACAGTAAGACAAGTAAAAATTACACCGTACCTCTTTATTCTGCTACGGCCGGCTGTTACTTCTAGAGGCCCAAATAAATCTAGCCCTGTATGAGTGAAGGGGCGCTGGTGATGAGCCATCCTCGCCTCTGGCAGGTCACCCATTCTGGGTGGTTGAGGTTGAGCTTTCTTAATCCGACATAGCATGCATTGTGAAGTGATATGCTTTACTGTGGGTCGCAATCTAATAATCCAGTACCGCTGTTTCAATTCATTCACGACCATTTCCTGGTTACCATGACATGCTCTCACATGGTAGTGCCTTACAATCAAGTGTGTGACATGACAGCGGCCATCAAGTATTACAGGTCGTTTGACTGCACTTGAAATTTCAGAAACGGCGTCAATTCGACCAGCCAAGCGAAGAATACCGTCTTCATCTAGCATCGGCGACAAGGTAAGTAATTTACTTTTCTTATCTAATTCTTTTTTATGTTTCAGGTTATGCAGGTCATCAGGGAAAGATTTCATCTGCGAGTACATCAGTAACAGGTTTTCAGCGCGCTCCATTAATCTCTGGTCTGCATTACAAGTAAGTTTCTTACATTTTTCTATGAAGCGCAATATAACACACGTAGATTTCAACAAGCGGAGCCATGAGGAAAACCGTTCAGGATCAGGTACAGCAGGTAAGTATACAGGCGTGAAGCTAATATTATTTATACATTCCAGGTCCATCTCAGACGCATCCAGCTGTTCACGCACTGTAGGCCACAAGTCTTCATTTTCTTTTAAAAATATAGGTCCATATAACCACTCATTTTGTAATGTTTTTATTTCACAGGTCTCTCGAGTGGCAATATCCGCAACATTCAACTTTGTAGGTATGTATCTCCATTCATATAATTGTGTGAGTTCATCAATCTCTCCCAGACGGTGAGCAATATATGATTTATAATTTTTATTATTGTTTCTTATCCAGTGCAAAACAGTAGCAGAATCACACCAAAAGTGCCTTTTTATTGGTTTTATTCTATGTTCTTTACATATACTATCTGCCAATCTCCCAGCGATCACTGCCGCCTGTAATTCTAGACGCGGTATGGACATATATTTCACAGGCGCGACTCGACACTTACTGGATACGAATGCAACTTGTATTTGTTTATTATTATCAATC